TTCTCCTACTTCCTGGCCTCAGGCAATACTACATCTTGCCTTGAGTATTTTTGCCATCAGCTTAATGGGTATTTAAGTCTCCCCTGGTGCAAAGGGCTGTATCTGGGCACTAGGGACAATGCCCTGAGGGCACACGTCTATAGCGGCACGCGTCTACAGGGCAAGTTTGCTTTTGCCTTACAGCCTAAGTGAGGAAAGGCAGACATGAATTGCTGTCAGTTTGTGGAACTTGTGAATGCTACCTTACCTGAATAAATACTAAGGTGACAATGACAATGGCGGCTAGGGAGTTCTGGGTAAAAATGAAGGGTTGGCCTGGGTGCCTCTGTAGTCCTTCCACTGAAAGCGTCTGGTCCTTCTCCCCAGTGTCAGTGGTGCTGGGCCTCAGGTTCCTTTTGCTACGTCTCTATCTCTCCCTTTGCAGACTGGAAAGAAGGTGGTGACTTCTTCTGTTCTTTTTCACAGCCACATAAAAGAGGGAGTCTTTACTTCCTTCCCAGTTGTAGACTTTCTGGAAGTACAGTAGATTACTGCCTATGGCACCTGTCCCCTCCTGGACTAGAGTTCTTTTTATTTATTTATGTATCCATTTAGCTATCTGTCATCTATCTGCTTATTTATTGGTGGGACTGGGGTTTGAACTCAGGGCAAAGCATGCTTGAGCCATGCCTACAGCTACAACTGGAGATCCTGATGTCAAGTCCTACATCTTACTGACCTTTGACTCCTCAGCTCTAGGTCAGTACTTGTCATGTAACTGGTACAGTATTTGTTAAATGAATGAATGAGAAATCAGGGGCAATTTGTCTCTCCCAGGAAGTGAGCACACGACGAGGGCTTCGTGGTTATGTACAATGGTCCACAGAAAATACCCTTTTGTGAATAAGATTTTAAACTTAAACATTTGAGTTTCAACTTTACAGTCTTCTACCATAAATCACACTGAAAATGTAAGTAATTTTGGTATAATCCAAAACAAATAGATACTTTTAAAAAAGAGGAAGCTAAAGATGTATATTTAGATCAGTGCACAATTTTGATTTGAATTAGTACTATTGTGATATTTAGCTTTTAGATATTTTGTAGACATTTTCACGTAACTTTTGCAGTTGAGGCCAGAAACACTTGTAGGTCTAGTCCTTCAGGACACGTGGAAATCTCCCCTGATCTGAAGGGTTTGCCTCTCTGAGTGAAAGTGTCTCTTTGAAATGAGCCACAGATGGGCCATGTTTTACTCAACTTTTCCACTAATATTGTTTGCTGTCTTTTGTTTATAATTAAAAATTGTGAGAAGCTCCATTTAATGTTTAAAAATGTAGGGAGATAAATCAGACTTAACATGTAAGGTCAGTTCTCTAACAGGAAGAAAATGGTTCAAAATAGCAAAGGTAGACCAGATAAAACATGTAGTCATTTTTTTAAAAACACATACTTGGTCTTTTGTCTGTCTGTTTTAATTCACTAGAGTAAATATGTCCTTGATGTAAACGCAAAGTATTTCTTCCTGATTAAATCGTAGATGTAGACTTTACAGTCTAATTCAATAATAAAGAAGTAATTAACTGCAAAAAAAAAAACAGAAAGAAAATGTCTGCTTGTGGATGTAGATAAAACAGATGATTCAATGCTGTCAGGGTTTAGATTTTTCTTTCCTTCAACCTCGAGGGAAGGCTCTGGTAGAAGTCTAATGTAGGTTGATGTGAAGTATGGAGGTTCTGCAGGTCTTTTGTGGGTTATGTGTATTTTGTTGTTTTTCCTTTTTTTTTTTTGGTGGGACTGAGGTTTGACCTCAGTGCTTCACACTTGCAAAGCAGGCAGTCTACTACTTGAGCTACACCTCCAGTCCTCTGCAGGTCTTTTGTGACATGGCCCTGAATTTCCTATTTGGTCAGAATCAGAATCCTCAAATCCAGATATCAGCATAGTATTTGGCTTTAATTATGGGAGGGGGCTGAGGGAGGCAAGGCTGCCTGAAGGACTTGTTTCCTTGCAAGTACAAAAGCAGTGCTTGCTTTGTGACTGCTAGAGCTCAGGGAGCTGAGCTGGGAGCCTGCAGGGAAGCTGACAAAGTAGTTCAGAGCCCTACTTTACCCAGCAGCTGAAGACACCTGCGGGCTCCATCAATCCTCCCAGCAGCAGTGTCTCTGGTGATGGCAGTGCTCAGGTATAACTCCTGGAAGATCAATCACAGTTTCATTTCTTTTCTCTCTAAGCTTGCTGAGTGTCCTGCATGCATGTAATGGTACAAGGGATCAGGGACTCTGGAAGAGCACCTGTAGGTCAGGGTGGTTGTCTCTGCCACAAATACTTCTTTATATCGCTTTGTGTTAAGGCTTGAGGCTACTTTGAAATGTATAGGGCTTGACTCAGGGCATTAGGTATAAATGGCATCCCAGTTGGAGCACCAGTTGCCTGTGTATGCTGTCCTGTAACATCACTTAAGAGAACTCCTAGACATCTGAACATCAAATCCTGGAGTGTCAGCAGGGAAGAAACAAAGAAAGCACACCCCTGCTGCCTTAAAACTTTGACCAAGATTCCTTGAAAGAACATGTTGACCAGCCACACATGTATGAGAAGTTATTGCAGCCTGATTTGTAAAAGCAAAGATTGCAAGTAACCTCAATGTCAACCAGTGGGAGAATGGCTAAGAAAACTGAGACTCAGGTTTAGGATGGAAGAGGAGGCGAACAACTAAAACAGGGGCCTATGTAATGACATGGAAATAGATCCAAGGTGATGAAGTTAAAAAAGGTAGAAATCTTGGTACACTGTGCTGCTGTTGATCCACAATAAAATCTACAACCAAAGCCGACAATTTCCAAATTAAATATATGTATGTAAATACATAGGCATTGGTTCTTAAAGACATGCATCAAACTGGTAATTATAGAACTTCTCTAGTTAAAACTGGGACTGAAAATGGGATAGTCAGAAGGAACCTAGAGTTTTTTCAATAAAAAGATGTAAGTATAGGTTGTGTTAATACTAAAAAAGTGCCGGTAAATGAAATATAACAAGAAATTTTATGAGAATGGATAATGTGTCTTTTTATCTTGTATAATGATAATCTGATCCACCTTACTGTGATTCAGGGCTTTAGAAGGTGGTATTTTAGGAATTTAAACTTTGAAGTAGACAGGCAAGCCCCTATTAGTTATAATATATCTTTATGTGTATTTAGACCCTATAAAGAACTTTTGTGCCAGGTGCTGGTGGCTCGTGCCTATAATCCTAGCTACTTAAAAGGCTGAGATTGGGAGCCACCCCAGTCAAATAGTTTGGGAGACCCCATCTCCAAAATAACCAGAGCAAAGTAGACTGAAAGTGTGGCTCATGTGGTACAGCACCTGCTTTGCAAGTGAGAAGCTCTGAGTTCACACCCCAGTCACACCAAAAACCAAAAAAAGACTCAGGTCCCAGTGAATCAATAGTAGCAAAATGGCTAAATGGAATGGATTTAAGGGAGTGCATTTAGACTAAGTGACTTTAGTAGTTGGATAGGGAAGAGGCAATGATGATGGAACCTCTAACCTGGGCAACAGGGTGAGTGGTTAAGGCATTAACTGAAATACAGGTAGCATATGATGTTTATGGGATTCTCTGGGTGGAGAGAGCTGGTGTATATAATTATTTTCAAGTGGAGAATGTGACTCAATTGGGAGAGATGTAGGAATGAGAATGAGGGTGGATGTCTAAGAAAGGGAAATGAATGAATAAGCTTTAAAAAGGTAACAAAAGGGCACCTCCTAGCTACTCAAGAGGCAGAGATCAGGAGGATTGCAGTTTGAAGCCAGCCTGGGCAAATAGTTCATGAGACCCTATCTGGAAAAAACCCATCACAAAAAAGGGGTGGTAGAGTGGCTTAAGGTATAGATCCTGAGTTCAAACCCCAGTATCCCCGCCCCCCCCCCCCCGCAAAAATAGTAACAAAATGGCAAATACAAAGCATGCTATACAGGAGGGTCAGCCAGACATGCATGTTTTAATCAAGAGTCCTGAGACCTAAATTATGTGATTGATACGACTAAAACTACAAAGTGTTAGATGGTAGGATTTGAACTCAGTTTCATCTTACTGCAAAGGAATATTCATTAAGCCAAAATATCTCGCTATTATAATGCATGATTAACAAAAAAAAATCTAATGTAATGAGTCAATCCAATGTGACTAGTCAGAAATGCCAAATATCAAGATTTTTACAAATCCCTGGAATTCTTATCCATCTGTAAAATAGGAATAATAGTTGCAATATATATTTACTCATATAGCTGTCAATGTATGGGTCAGGAGATAAATAAAAGTAATCTCATTTAGTTCTCATCAAATCTTCCAAGGTTGATAACTTCTATTCCCATCCTGTTAGTGAAGAAGTGGAGACTCAGAGATTGGGTGGGATTTAGGAGACAGCTCTCATAGGAAGTCATACCAAGAGATCTTTTAAATGTTTTTCTGGGTGCCACAATATCCCCCAACTCCCACCAGGGATAGTAGTGCCTTTCCCACCTATCTTAGAGGTTATTTTGAATTTTATCTGGAAGATTAATGGGGCCCAAGAATCTAATGGTTCTGGTGTGGATAGTCTACAGGCCACATTCTAAGAAACTATTTTATGTTTTGAGAATGATAAGCCATACCAGCCCTACAGAAATGTAATGATATTTATTAGTTGATTAGCAACAGGCTTTTCTTAGAAGTGACAGATCAATCTGAATACCTAAAAACCTGAACAAAAGGTGTGTCTGTATATGTGTGTCTGTGTGTGTCTCTCTATGTCTGTATGTATGTGTCTGGGTGTATATATCTGCATCTGTGTATGTGTGTGTCTGTGTGTATGTATGTGTGTGCTTCATTGCACTCATGGGTGTGGATGGATTTAAGTCTCCCCATCAATTACATCAGGGGTGGCTAGTCATCTGGGCACTGTTCTCACCTACACAGCTTTTTGGCTTTTCTAAAAATCATATCAGTTACAGGTTTGCTTCTTTCTCACTTTCTAGGGATCAACAAAAACCAGCTTGGTGTGTGTGGCTGGATTCTGTTTTCACTTTCTTTACTATTGATGATTATTACCTTCCCCATCTCCATATGGATGTGCTTGAAGGTAATTCCCCTGGGAAATAAATGGGGCTCTCCATATGAGCTGACAAGCCATTAAGACTAAATGCTCTCCCTTAATCTCTTAGATCATTAAGGAGTATGAACGTGCTGTTGTATTCCGACTGGGACGTATCCAAGCTGGTAAAGCCAAGGGACCAGGTATGGTACTGTGGCTGCTCTTGCTAGAGATCGTAGGCACCTCTTAACTATTATCACAACCACCAATGGTTTTCCTGGTGGCACCCATTGAGAGTCAAAGAAAAACCACAGGAAGCTGGAGCCCTCGCCTTTCTGTACAGTAGAAAGATGTTGCCCTATTATGAAAATTACTGGGACTGACCACCATTTTGAGATTTCAGAAATCTAGACCTGTTTCCTAACTTTTCCACTGAGAGGTCCAGTGAATGTGAACAAAGGGTGAAGGGTACATTGACTGGATGTCACTTATTGCCTGGTCCCTGAGAGCATGTCAAGAGAATGAAGGGAGAGAGCAAATGGCCAATGTAGACCACTAAGATGTTAGTGAAGAATATTCAAAGAGCTGGTTTTTGATTCTCACTCTTTGAAAAGGGCTAATCAATAAGCAAAAGGTAGTTTTCTTTTAGAGCAAGTAGACTACTAGATAGAGCTTGAAACCATTGTACAACTCCTTTTGTAAATTCTCTTGGTTTTGAAAATAAAGAATCAGGCTAACAGGTTTACTGATTTATCTAAATGAGCCTTACAGTTGGAGGTAAAGATGCCCTCTGGCTTTCTATTACCTAATGTAGTATTTATTTCCATTTTTTTCCTCTACAACCTTTGAAGGAAAAATGTTCCAAACTGTTCATGTTACAAAACAGTTGGGGGAGGACAAGAGAGTGTCACATATTAAAACTGCCTAGAAATGACATATTGATTTAGTACTGACAACCTCTTATAATGTGTCTTTTGTTGAGCCAAATGAAATTGCTCATATTTATTTTGATTCAAAAAATGGCAATTTCACATTATGTCAGTTTCTCAGTGCTTTAACAAATACTTGATAGAAGCACTGAGGCTTGAACTCAGAGCCTGATTGGTATAGGCAGGCACTCTAATACTTGAGCCATTCCATCAGCCCAAAAGGTAGAAAATTTATTTTGGTTTATGGTTTCAGAGGTTTCATTCCTTGGTTGGCTAACTCCATTGCCTGAGTCAAGGCAGAACATCATGATGGAGAAAGTATGATAGAGCAGAGCTGTTTTCCTCATGGTAGCCAGGAAGCAGAGACAGGAAGGGACCAGAGATGAGATGTATATTCTTTGGGTATACCCCCCTTGGTTATACCTAGTGACCTATTTTCTCCAACTAGATCCTGCCTCCAAATAATGCCAAAAATATGAATCTATCAAGGAATTAATCCATTGACTATATCAGAGACCTCATGATCCAATAACTTCCCAAAAGTCCCACCTCTAAACACTGCTGCATTAGGAACCAAAACACATGAGTCTTTTGGAGGATACCCCTTATCCAAACCATAACACATATAGTTATAGTTTCAATATTCTTGAAAGGAAGGGCCATCAAAAAGCATCTTAGTAGACCCATGAAAAGCAATGATTATTAGCTATATTTTTCTGGTAACACTTGCTTTATGCCCTCTCTTATAGTTTATTTGTGTAAAACTGTTATCTCTCCAGTTTCACTGAAAGATCTCTGGGGACAGAATTGTTTTAGTGCCAGTAATACTCTATATACTTTGCACTTGGTCATGAACCATGATAGGTGCTCTTTTATGGGGACAGAATTGTTTTAGTGCCAGTAATACTCTATATACTTTGCACTTGGTCATGAACCATGATAGGTGCTCTTTTATATGAAAAAATAGCAAAAATTTCCAAAGGTGAAATGAGGCTTGGCCATTTCAAACAGTATAATCTTATGTGTCTAATTTCATAAAGAACCTAAGAAAAGAGGGCAGGAATTACTTACTTTGGATTTATTATAAGTTTGTCAAGTCAGAGGTGTTAGAATCAGCACAAAGTCAGCCCCTTTTGCTGTCATGTTCCATCTGCTGGGGCTAAGATTATCACTTAAAATAAAATTGAGTCTGACAGAGGCAGAATAATCATAACATGTATTTCTTTCAAATGAATTTTCCCAGAAGATCTCACTACTAAATGTCCCAGGATAACAACCCTCGTCATACATGTCTCTGGGGCTAATAAGTTACCTCAGAATGTCATAAGGACCAGAGGGAAACAACCCAGATGGTTAATGGAAAGCCTCTCTACTTTTGCAAATTGCAGTTCTTTAATAATAAAAGTATTACAATAAGAGCTGCCAATCCTTGAGCACTTACTACACAGCTGGCACTATGTTTGGTGCTTTATTTTATTGCCATATTGAATCAGACTTTGTCTTATTATCATCTTATAGAGATTAGATCACTGATGCTCAGGAAAGTTAGGTAATGCTCTCTAGTTACAAGGCATGGCAGGACTGAGATTTAACTCTTGCTAATTTTCAGTGCCATGATGTCAATAATGGTGCTGTGGCACAAAAAATGGAAGTAAATTAGGCAGTAATTCTTACCATATCTCAGCAAGGTTTAGAGACCCAAAGAAAGGCAGCATCTCAACAGTGTTCTCTATTTATGCTATTTGTGCTTCATAGAGAGCTCAAACCAAAAACTTGTTTCTGCTTTGAAAACAAAAATAGTAGCCAAACACTTCCCTGATAAATGGAAATGGATTAGTGGCCCTATTTTGCTGACATGCCTGGTGGTTCTAATCCTTGAAACTCTTGCAGTAAAGAACTTCCTCCAGGTTAATGCTAAAGTTTCATAGGGTCCTCAAATAAGTTTTCTGTGTCCATCCTCCCCTGACCAATCCTAATACTTCACAACTCAGAGAAAAGTAAGTCTTCACAATTGGGAAACACTGTTGTACTTGAACCAGAACACAGCTATGGAAAAACTGTTCCTTTTTTTTTTTTTCTTTTTTAGATAGGGTCTCACTATGTAGCCCTGGCTGGCCTTGAACTCTAGTTCCTTCTGCTTCAGCCAGCACCAGCAGAAACTATTAGTTCTGTAATGCATTGGTATCAAGGAGTCTGAGACCCTGGGAATATTTTATTCAATATTTCTTCAGTACTATTGAAGATGCTGACAGAATCGGCAATCACTGATATTCAAGTCCTAAAGTCTGTATCACTTGAATCTTTTATATAGATACCTTATAAAGAAACCAATTTTCAAAAAATCCTTTTTAATTGATGCCAATTTAAATGCTTAGTTGGAAGTAAATTATTTCAAAATAAAAATTAAAAATTAAAAGTCATGGATCATTAGCTTCTTACCAGAAGACTTTAATTGCTAAGCAATTACTTTTCTTTAGTCACTTTTTAGACTAACAGGGGGAAATCATCCCTGTGTTCATGCTAAACATTATCTGAGCAGCGAATCTATAGCCCCACGATGTATATAGCTAGAAGACTGTTGTAATTACTTTCAGTAAGTAAAGTTGTTTTTTTTATTATTATTATTCATATGTGCATAAAAGGCTTGGGTCATTTCTCCCCCCTGCCCCCACCCCCTCCCTTACCACCCACTCCACCCCCTCCCTCTCCCCCCACCCCTCAAGTAAGTAAAGTTTTAGATCAATTTTCTTTTCATAGGCTTGATCCTGGTCCTGCCCTGCATAGATGTGTTTGTCAAAGTTGATCTCCGAACAGTCACCTGCAATATTCCACCCCAAGAGGTAAAAGATTAAAGATGTATTATTAGACATGAAATCTTATGGTATGTTTTGAATCTGTGAGGAGGAGAATGAACTGAATCTCCCTAGGGACCTACATGAGTTGCTTTAGGTGGCTCTAAAACTAATGGCTTTGTTTTGCCAAATGAGACTGAAGCCAAGGACAAGATCTGAAAGTCTAGATGACTTAGAATGACCAGGTGGGAGAAAGCCAGAGAGAAGAGAGGCAGTGTGCAGAGATACTGGGGTGGAGAATGACAGGAAAGTAGCTGAAGTGAACCTGGTAGAGGGCACTGGGTAGTTATAATAACTTTATCCATCACCTTCTCAGAGGTTATTTTAGAAATATTTACATGACTCACCTTTGCTTTTGATTTTAACATTTTTTGTGTATTTGAGTGTGACTGCAGAACAGGTGTGGGGACAGAGCAGAGGCTATACAGGGCCCACTTGCATTTGGACTTCAAATAATTCCCTTTTATTCTTGAAGTACTGTGAATAGATAACCAAAAACAACGACAGCACTAGGGAAAAGGAGCAGAGTTACTAATAAGCATGCCACCCTCTCATAACCAAAGTGCTTCAGAAAGAAAAAAAAATGGGAGTAGAACCTAGAATGAGGGAGAGCAAAGGAGACAGAAACTGAGTAAAGAACCAACACCCATGTCTGCACACACTGTTGAGAAGCATGGAGGAGCAAACTCAGGACTCAGCCTGGTCATAGGCGGCCTTGGAAGGCTAGGTGACCTATAGCAGGGCTTTTTTGGCTCTATAATGGACAGTTCTAAGTTCTGCTCCATGGTTCACTCAGAAGTCTCTTGTTTGCTCTCAAATGCTTTAGAACAAATGATGCTGAACCTCTCTATAAGACTAAATCTATTTTACTTTACTTGAATATAGAACACGGTCTCTGGTGCCATCTATGTTTTCTAACAAGCACTGCTTCGTCAAGTCAGAAAAAACCTGAAAACCAAGTAGATCACAGGTATCAGGAGACAAATGTTCTATGTTTGTTTAGAAGTAGAAGATGGCAGAATTCCAGAATGGTTATTCTTACCCTGGCAAGTCAAGGGCTTCTGCCTATGAGATGTAAGATCTCTCTAAGATGAAATTGCAGGGGTAAGCAGGGACAAAATCTGTGCAGAAATTGTGTTATCAGGTAGGATGACATCACACTCAAGGCAGGACTGGTGACTGCTAGCATGAGTGGTCATGAATGCTTTCCTTCTGTGGAGGAACGCTCTCAGGCTGGCTGCCACTTTGTCAATTGCTGTGACAGAACTTGTGACCTCACCTTGTTCTTGCTCTACAGATCCTTACCCGGGACTCTGTGACTACTCAGGTGGATGGAGTTGTCTACTACAGAATCTATAGTGCTGTTTCAGCAGTAGCTAATGTTAATGATGTCCACCAAGCCACATTTCTGCTGGCTCAGACCACTCTGAGAAATGTCTTAGGGACACAGACCTTGTCTCAGATCTTAGCTGGGCGAGAAGAGATTGCCCATAGCATCCAGGTAAAGATACCAAGAACCAATGTTCTGCATCATGAATTCACTCATCTTAACAACCACAGGTTGTCAATACCAGTAGTTCAAAGCACTCCTCCTCATGTTTATTCACACACACACACACACACACACACACATGGCTGCTCTAGAGAGGTGAGCTTCCATTTGTGATTTCATTTGTCTATCATTCATTAATTCATTACAGCATAAATATCTGTTTGGGAGAAAGAAGCTCTGGAAATTGTGACCCTTGTCCTTTTTTTTAAAATTCAAAATTAAGAATTAACATTGTAGATTTAACCTTTTCTGAAGAGGTTAGAGATCACATTTATTTTCAGTGTAGATAACTCCAGAAATGCGGCTATTTCTCAGACAGCCTTTGCATTCCTAAATATTAGTGGGGTACAAAAGTTAGAAGAAGATTCATTTGAGACAGCAAACATATGGCATGTTTGGAAAATATGCCATCGTTGGAAATTTTTACAGCAAACCACCAATATCAATAATATTAATAATAACAGTAATCATTTAGGATGTAGCAGGTATGACCTCATCTCTTGTCCATCCTAGCTTATAATCACATTTCTGTATTTTCTTAAATCAATTATACTTTGATTCTAAGCCCCTTTTCTGTAAAATAGAAGGAAATTCAACTTGGATCACTCTTGGCCTCTTGAATAGTCCGTAATGTAGTAAAAGTAACCAAGGTTTCATGGAGCAAAGTAAATTCTGCATGACAGACCCTGTGTCATTTGTGAGAGCTCTGGGAATTTGATAGCTCAGATGTTTCCCTTCTAAATCCAGCTCCCTGGTTTTATGTGAGGTCTCTCTAATTCCTGGGGTCCTGCAGAAATCACAGACAGGACAGGGATCACTATTTGGTGGCGGAGGTCTCTGTCCTTGCCCTTTGGGAGAGCTGGCCTTTTAACCTCACTGCTTTGCCAGGCATTCTTGTCCATTGCTATCCATGATAGCCTGCAAGATGTCTTCCATGGTTTTAAGCTTTTACAAAGGACAAAGATATCTTTGACTTTAAGTTGTCTAAAAAATACCCTGAACTATGCTCTGAAGTATGTATTGCTAAAAATATATTATATATATATATATATATTTATGTATAATATATATGTATGTATATATACATATATATATTAAAAACTGACCATAGTGCAGAGGCTAAAGAAAGCATGACAAACAAATGTGGAGCATTTGCTCAAATCTAGATGGATGTCATATATATACTTAGAGATGGTTGTGGGGTGGACCCTTCTGGCAAACCATGTAAAGATTATCAGAATTTATTCATGAAAATTTCATGGAGTTCTCTTCAACTCCAAAAAGTGATCAATAAGTTTGGGAAGGATTAATTTCCCAAAACATACCAGAAACTTGTATCACATCACCTGTTTTCTGACCAATGTCCTTTCTTTTGATTTGGAAACAGACCTTACTTGATGATGCCACGGAGCTGTGGGGGATACGAGTTGCCCGAGTGGAAATCAAAGATGTCCGTATTCCTATGCAGTTGCAGAGATCCATGGCAGCTGAGGCTGAGGCCACACGGGAAGCCAGAGCCAGGGTGAGGGCCATTCTGTGTTACACGTGGAGGGAGAGCTGCCTGCTGCTGAGGCAGACAAAAACAGAGATTAAATGGAAGACCAAGGTTTCTCAATTAAATTGTTATGAAAGAATATCTTCAAAAAGTTTTTCTTTTTTCCCTGAGAATTTCCCCTGAATTTAAAGGTAATGAGAAGCCTAATGTGTCTGAGGCAGTTTGGTACCAAGTCAAGAGGATGTTCAGCCACATAGCAATGTGGAGTCTAACACTGGCTGCACATTGGAGTCTCCTAGAGGATTTAGCAAGGCAAAATACTTCAGACCTAGTGATGCAGAGTCTGGTGTGGGTCCAGGAATCCCCACATCTTCATAAAGCTGGTGTTTCAGATGTAGTCAATTTGTTGCCTGTCTTTTGAGCATCATTGTTTGAATATGTAAATGTTACTGGATTAAATGGTAATAATTAAATACAACACAAGCTAGAGTTACAAGACGTAAGTCCATCTTGGCCCCAGGTGTCCTTTTTTTTGATACTGAAATTTGAACTCAGGGCCTCACTCTTGCTAGGCAGGCGCTCTCCACTTGAGCCACTCCACTAGTCCTCCATGTGTCCTTACATCTGCTCACCTTCATGTCTGTGTGGATAGAGTTCCTAAGCATCAGAAACCAACTGAGATCAGAACTTTGTATGCCCTCTTTGGAATATTACTTACGAGCCGATGAAGATTTTCTTTGCTCTCATTCCTTACTCATATCTGGTTTATCTTCTGAGTTCCAACAGCAACCAAGAAGGGACGTGGTGAAGAGGGATGAGCCATCCCTTTACCACACCCTTTTCCCAAGGACAGCTGACTAATCAAGAGAGTTCCAATGAGGATGAGGCGGTACTTATTGATCCATGTAATCAAGAGCTGAGGGAACTAGAAACAATTCTGGCATTGAAAGAATGACGCAAAATTGGCAAAAGAATGAAATAAAATTATCTCATGATAAGTAAAAACAACAAAAAAAGCCATTTGGAGCCCTTGAATTTCAGACTTCTCTAAAAACTAAGGCCACAAGTAATGAGACTCCAAAGAACTTCAAGAGCATTCCTAGAGTGGATGGCCAGGTCTTCTTTTGTGTTAAATAACATTTTTATTGTGTATGGTGGTGCTTGGATTTGAACTCAGGGCTTCATGTTTGCTAGACAGTTTCTTTTGTGTTAAAGCTAGTGATTTTATTTGTGTTTGAAAATAAATTAATGACAAAGCCTGAGGTCCTCCCGATAGCCGGACCATTGTTGAGAGGGTCCTGTTTATGACAACAACAAGAAGGTTAAATGAACAAAGCGAGGTCTCCGTCCGAAGCTTCGGCCAATTGTTGAGAGGGTCCGGTTTGTCTTGGGAGGAGTCAGCAGGAGGTGAAGAAATTCCAGACTACAATTGCACGACACCGATGTATCTCTACAGTCTGGAAATAGCATTAACAAGGAAAAGCGTAGAGTCTATAAAAAGAAAAAAAAAAGGCAAAAATGAGGGCTGCTTACTACTTTTATTTTAAAGGCATAATCAATTTTGCAATATTCTTTTTTTTTGCAATATTCTTATTAATTCATATTATTACATGTCCCTGACTTTAAGCAGGAACGTTCTCACAGTAAGGAACGAAATCTCCATGTGATAGTGACTAAGATTTCAGAATTACTTTTAGTTGTTTTAAAAAAGTATTCTAGATACCTTGTAAAGAAAAATAGGCCTCATATTTATTCTACATATTTGCTTTACAATTTCAAAGTAATTACTTGCTATATCTCCAATAGTTGCAATAAAAACACTCCATACTGAAAATTGTAGCTAATTTTGATGTTAAAGACAAAATATCAGCTGCAAACACAGCACTGCCCCCTCCAGGGTAAATTGTACTCAGCTCAGGATCCCATCTCTTTACTGCACTGCATGTCTTGGGGTTATTGGCCAATTCCCAGCTGCCTAGCACCTGTGTTAGAGGTGGGACAGGGCACAGTAGAACAGAAAGCCCCAGTCAATTTATCTGCTTTCAAGTGAGAATGTTTGTAAAAGGTGTCATGGTTAAAATCACTGGGGAACATTATCCTGTAAATTTAGTGCTTTCACTCTGTTTGTCCCAAGAATCACAAGTAGTAAAGAATTGTTTGTAGTCTCTCCCCCACCCCCCAATAACTTGTTGCAAATAAAGAAGCCATAGAATATGAATGTATTTTAAAAATTGCTTTTTTGGGGGTTATTTTGTTACCAAGGCACAATTTTCTTTTGGGATTAGTTTTGAGAAATGGCTAGAATTTTTTAAGTTACTACTTATTAACAGCTCATGGTTGCACTGTGCTCATCCCTTTATAGATACCAAGAAGTATATTTATTTTACACATGAGAAGGTGATATCCAGAGATTAAATCACTTGTCCGAGTTCCCTTAGCCAGTCAATGTCAGATTAGGATATTTACATATCTATCTATCTATCTATCTATCTATCTATCTATCTATCTATCTGGTAGCACTGAGGTTTGTACTCAGGGCCTCACACTTGCTAGGCAGGTGCTCTACCACTTGAGCCACTATATCCTGGGCTGGCTTTGAATATTGATCCTATTGATCTCTGCCTAGGATTACAGGTGTGAGCCACCAGTGCCTTGCTGGGTTAGGATTTTTTTTAAGACACGTGTGGAAGCTCCAAAATTTGAAAGGAACAAGAGAGGACCCTCCAAACATGGGAAATGCTATTAGCACTTCCTCTCTCTGCCCTATCAATGATGAGGTCACAGGCAGTCCACAGTCACTTTCAAATGCAGGCCCTGGGCTAGGATTTTTAAAAGACACTTCTGACTTGCTTTATATATCATTGAATTTTATTTGAGGAGAGAGGGGGGAATAGAGCCCTCCAGGTGACTTTTTGTCTTCACTACCAAACTTAGGTTCTAGAATCGTAGGAGTTCACTGTAGTGCCTAGGACTACACACACCTGCACAATGGTGTGTTTGTGCAAACACACTCCACACAGGCTTCTCACTCTTCCAAGTAACATCAGCACCCTCACATTCTCCATTTCCTCATAGCACCACCCTGCCCTTTCTTTCCTCACACACCTCCTTCAATACATGGGCATTAGCTACATATGAATGCAAAACGGGATCTTACTCTACCTTCAGGTTTGTAACTTTTTTTCCCATAACACTGTATGATTTTAGGGCAATCTACAACTTATGATTCATACTGGATTCTACTATTTATAAGACTCCAGTACTCATTCTTAGTCCACCGAGGTTCACATGGTTTTCCTTATAGACTAAGTACTTGGATTGTAACAGAACTGGGGACTTTGGTGCATAGGCAGGAATCTAAGATAGGTCACCAAAATAAGCCAGAATGTGAGGTCATGAAGTTATATCAGTTAGATACTTAACAGGTGACCTTATATTCTGAGGAAATGGCACTGGACTCACATAGCTCTACCCGCTATGGCACTTGGGAGGAGGAGTCCTTTTTTTTTTAAGCCCTACTACGCTTTTTCCTTTCCTTTTTTTTTTTTTCAAATAAAGTTTTTAATAGCATATGATAGTTTTACAGGGGGTTTGTTGTGACATTTATATATATATATGGTTTAGTTCATCTCATCATTACTCTCCCTCTTCCCTTCTTGAACTGCCTTCCACAGGTTTCACTATTCCATGTCCATCTATGTAGAGAAGGTACCTCAACCATGTTCACCTTCCTTAACCCTCTCCATTTTCCTCCCCTTCCCATTCCTTCCCTCCCCTTAACATGACCTGTTTTACGTTCCTGTCCTTCATTGTTTCAGTGTCTGTTCATTGTTCAGCGAAGTTTTGCCTCAGTGTTTTACCTGTAAACATATTGTACTTTAGTCAGACTAACCCCCTCTATTACTTTTCCTTATCTTCCCCTCCATCCTGTATTGTTCAGCTGTTTTCAGTGTGTTTCTTTGTGTCTTATTCCTACACAGATATGATGTATTTCAATATTATTCATGCTCTAGAGAGGCGCCCTACTTGTACAAGAGCATTTTACTGGCCCTTGCAAAAATCTCTTCTTAGCCTTGTTGCAGAAATCTATAGTGATTCCTTGTTTGGTGATTTGCATTAAAAATGCACATTTTTTTTGGCAATGCACAAGAAAACACTAAATTAGTGGTTGGTGGTGAAGGTAAACATTCATTTGCTCACTGACTCTTTCAAATGCACACCTCTTTCCCCCAAAAGAAAAAGAACACACACACAAAACAAAACAAAACAAAAGTATAACCTGTTTGCATCCCATGGATTGGGATTGGGGTATGAGAGCTACATCAGAATCTGTGGGGTAATGGAATATACAGCTTGAAAACTCCCTAGGAGATTCAAGTGATTTCATTCCCTGCAATGTTAAGCCTTATTCAGTCTTTAGTCATTTATTACATTATTATTATTATTATTATTAAAGGTCATTTATTACATTATTATAAAAGGCTGACTAAAGAGAGACCTTTGGAAAGAAAGTATATTTGGGGACCAGGAGTCTGTAGAAGAATCAGGTAAGGTCAGAGCTCTTCTGGCATGTGAAGGCCAAGGATTATATTCAAAATACTGTCACCCTCCCCACCTACCCCTTTAATAAGTCTAAGGCTCAGGTTATTTTCCCCTGAGGGAGGAAAACAAAGCCAAGAGTGGAGCCAGCAAACAATTATTCTCTTTGTAATGCAGCCGCAGGACCCATTCATTGCATCAATTTTTAAGCCAGTACAGATAATCTGCACCAGTTGATTTCCTTGTTTATTTTATTATTATTTTTTTTTTTTCTGGTGCACTAGGGCTTGAACTCAGGGCATCCTTCTTTAATGGGAATTGCCTGACCCTGACCCCAAGACTAAGTTAGGGCCTAAAATTTTCACTTTTCACAGTATTGCCCCTTTTGCTGGGCCCAAGGTAATTCCAGTGCTGCTTTAGTCTGGTAGGCCTGTTAGAACAAAACATTCTAAACAGATTGCTTATAAGCACCAGAAATTTATTTCTCACATTCTGGAATCAAGGTCAAGGCACTGGCAGATTCCATGTCTGATGAGGGCCCACTTTCTGGTCCTTAGAT